AAAATTATGAAGACGATTGGCGCATATTCAAGAAAATGCCAGCACCAGTCCTGTTACTTTTGGAACACCCTGCAGTTTTGGCTTTTGAGAGTAGATTTTGTCAGGGAAAACATGTTATTATGGTCAAAGGGACTACTAACTCTTAACTACTAACCATGGAAAAGGATAATCGTTTGTGCATCTGTGATCTCATATCACAGACAAATCACATTCACCCAGTATCCCTATTTCAAACATTTTAGGAATTAGATAAGAAATCAATTAAGTCATGGCCTATATCTCGATGAAATGACATATCTGTTATACTGTTACATATATCCCATATCGATTAATTGTTCCGTTATATGTAAGTCACGAGTCATACCTTGGTGCCTACATTTTAGATATACAGGGTGGTCAAAAAAATGGAAACCCTGTCACCATTTCCCTCATATCTTTGTCATTTTAGGGATTTACTCCCTGATATTTGGCACACTTGTACATCATTCAATTTTCTACCAGCGTACCATATTTCATGACCATCAAATTGATAGTCACAATGTTACAGCACTTTAAGCAACATGCCCCAGTGGCCACTTTTGCACTTTCGGCAAACCTGCACCGATCATCCAAAATGTCCCTATTCAATTTTAACCTGTGGTGATACACTGAGAAAGAGTTATGAAATTGACCTCAGGACAACTGCAGACCTAAAAAAGGAGATCATCCATATCATTCAGGCCATACCTGCTAAGAAACGTAGTCAGATCATTGACAACCTGTTCAGGTTTGCCGACAGCGTGATGGTGGCCACACTGGGGCATCTTGTTCAAAGGGCTGTAACATTGTGACTATCAATCTGATGGTCATAAAATATGGTATGCTGGTAGGAAATTGAATGATGTACAAATGTGCCAAATATCAGGGAGTAATATTCTAAAATGACAAAGATATGAGGAAAATGCAGGGTTTCCATTTTGTTGACCACCCTGTATGTATTGGAACCTAGGCTTTAACGACCCATGTTATTTGCAAATGTGACATTACATTCGTCGGGCAAATTTATTAATATTTGCTATGTCTAAACCTAAAACAGCAGTTACAGGTTATTTCATGAAAAAGATGGTGGAAAGAATAAATCAATATAAAATCATGAAAAATATATTCTTGCTGCCGCATTCTGATACTCGTCACAATCAGACAACAGATATGTTTTGATATGAAGAAGCCATATAGCTGATCGAGGAGGGTTTCTTTTCTCTGTTTGTAAAACAATTTGTCCACAGTAATGCATTTATTAGAAACCGTAAACCCATTATTGTAACCGTCGTCTGACTTTACCAACCACTATTAATATTTTGTTCTAAAAACAAAGCGAATGATTACATAAAACTTATTGAAGTGAATACAGTGTCCTCGTGTTTTTGAAAAAATACTGTAATGAGATTTGTATGAATCAGAGCAATCCCCGGGATTACTGTCTGATATGTTACGTTTCGTCCGGGACATACATCCTGGTACCTAAGTTGGAATAACACGCGGTAGTATCTCTTCGGGACGTATCGAAACCACTCCGTCCCGAAAAAACCGTTAATTTGAATTTAAAACCTACCCCAGTGTTTGAAAATCAAGGATTGTGAGTCTCACACTTCACCGTTTTTCTTCAAACTTGTTCCGTACAAAGCTTCACAGAAATACCTTTCAGTCGATACATTGTTTTCGTGTACAAAGTACCTCGTTTTAGCGGCGTTTTGGTCCCCAGCTGCGAGATAAAGCAAATTTTCATAACTTTCAACTGTAAGTCAAGTTATCTCGCCAGTCTTTTACCCATTCTCGCTCATAATTTCAGAATGGACTCCCATTACAACCTTCCATCGCTACGTTTTGATTTTTGGGCATCAAACGCAGCAGTTTCTTAATCATCCACACATCTCTTAAAATTTGACTAATACGTCCCGTCACCTTCCACTACGCCCCGCCGAGTCTATGACTACAAACGTGGAGTTGTATTCTAAAACATTTTGTTCATCGTTGTGTAATTTTACATAGGTTTGCCTTGGTCGATTCTTAACACCAGTCTTAAGTTTAGCATACATACGGAGTATAACTATAACTGATTGCATGAAATTGATAATTTAAATGTTTGTGAAGATGTTGCTTTTTAACTTTAATTATATGTAATTGTCCTGTATTTGATTTTGTGAGGAAACCAAGTGTCTGATTTGAAACACAATAAAATCTGGAATCTTGTTTTGCTAATGTTCAACATAAATAATTTATAAATTATCGGCCGAGGGCAGATTAGAGCGGATCAATCAATGATGTACAAAAAGTAACATGTAAAAGAAAAAACGCTATACTATTGCTCTCGACAGAAAGCTTCAATTTTCATTGCATCATATTTATTTATTTACCTGTATTTAAACAGAGTGGTTTTAAACATATGCAGTTACTGCTTAAATGATAATAACACTATTTGCTTAATTCTATGAAGAATGTTTTTATAGTTTTTAATATTCTATCGTCCAGCGTATTCTCTCCGAATTATTGATCTGGCTATGCATTTTATGCACTAAACATAAACATGTAATACGTATCAGAATGATACTATACAATATTATATCACAAAGAACATTTTGTCATGACTATACATATTTTCTAAGTTCATCATCATGCCACAGTGTAAATGTACTGTATGACATCCAAAGCAAAGTACTAACAAAGCTTTACATTACATTATGAAACGTGTACCATATAAAATGATACATGTTTCTAACGTTACCGGATTTTCTCGCATATACGCCCCCCTAAATTTAGGCTCATGGGCCAAAAATCGAATGTACTTACGCTTGTACGCCCATGGGCCTATAAAAAATGACTATTTATTGATTTTTTCAATAAATTGAAGAGTATTTTGTCACTGGCAGATCGTTCTGTCGTTACTTTGTTTCAATATTAAGTTCAACGCTGTGCCGTAAGTGGCAGTGGTGGATCGTTCTGTTGTTACTTTTTTTCAACATGAAGTCCAAGGTTGTAGGTGACATTTCCTTTATAATTCTTACAAAACATGCGGTAGGACAACAGTAGGTACTGGTTGTCTTTGAGGAACCATTGTATTCATCAGCTCTTCTCACCTTTACGCCCACTGGGCCAAAAATCGAAAGTAGTACACTTATACGCCCATGGGCAAAAAATAAGAGGTAAAATAACAGACGAAATTACCCCTTCTTTCAGTTATACGCCCAGGGCTTATATGCGAGAAAATCCGGTATGCTGAAAATAATATAATTGACATCACCCATCCTTTCGCATTTTAACATTTTTTCAAGGATAAGGCACTTTAAACGTTTCTTAAAAATATTTTCAATTGTTCAGTAATTAAAATCTTTATATTGCAATATAGGGAAATCTAAATTTTAGGTAGCCCTATATTGAAAATGGACAAGAATGGGTAAATCTTAAAACACAATCCGATTGGTATTTAGAATCGACAATGGCAACCTACAAACGGACACATCGATGGACAAATTGTTTTAGAATGCAACTCTACGTGTATAGTGATAGACTCGGCGGGGCGTAGTGGAAGATGACGGGACGTATTGGTCAAATTTGAAGAGATGTGTTGATGATTTAGAAACTGCTGCGTTTGATGCCCAAAAATCAAGACGTAGCGATGGAAGGTTGTAATGGGAGTCCATTCTGAAATTATGGGCGAGAATGGGTAAAAGACTGACGAGATAACTTGACTTACAGTTGAAAGTTATGAAAATTTGCTTTATCTCACAGCTGGGGACCAAAACGCCGCTAAAACGAGGTACTTTGTACACGAAAACAATGTATCGACTGAAAGGTATTTCTGTGAAGCTTTGTACGGAACAAGTTTGAAGAAAAACGGTGAAGTGTGAGACTCACAATCCTTGATTTTCAAACACTGGGGTAGGTTTTAAATTCAAATTAACGGTTTTTCGGGACGGAGTGGTTTCGATACGTCCCGAAGAGATACTACCGCGTGAATAAACGCCATTATGAATTGAACTCAAAGTTATATTCTGATGTCAATTTGACTAAAGAAGAACAGTTTATTAATACTAGGCCTACTTTCAAAATGCATTCATGATCTACATCAGGTTGTTTTGGCTTGAAAGCAGAATATGAAAAATGGGGAGAGGGAAATGGAGTTGCACTTTATATGATCAGAATGTGAAGGACACCATCCAACACAGGCTTTTTTTGTATGCCCTTTCTTTGGTAATGATAGAAATATTTTTTCTAAAAATGTTATAGAAAAATGTAATGGAGCACTATCATCAGATCTTTTATCCGCAAGTGCGCAAATTAAAACATGTTTGGCCTTAGGAGAGGACATTTTTACATTGTGAAGACAAGAAGAAGTTTTAAGTTTAATAAATCTGTCAAGGGTATTTTGAGTATGACCGGTCCTCGGGCTACGTATTTCTGTAAATCTGTTTCTGTAAACATATTCGATTAGGTTAAGAATTTCCGAAATAATCTCGACGTAAGACAGGCCACTGTAATTTCATGATTTCATGAAATTTAACTTTTATGTGAAGATAGAATTAAGGAATAAAAACCGAGATTTTATGATTTATGGCGTAATATATGACCGAAGATTTTATTCTGTTCATTGTTAAAAGACCGAAATCGCGTAGCGATTGAGGTCTTTGGCAATGGCCAGAATAAGATTTGAGGTCATATATTTGACATAAATCATAAAATCGAGGTCTTTGTTACGATTCTAATATGATAAACAGACAAGAAACACAACTATTTGCATTTAAGAATTTTAGTGGTCATACATACTCCAATATAGACCAATAAATCAATTGTTCTAGCCAGTGTGGCGTTACGTATCATATTAGAATGGAAGATGTTCCACCATTTTATATGACACTTTTACCGGTAACTGCACTTAGGGTGATACAATGGGATGATATATTTATATTAAGTTTATATATAAATCCAATTGACAATTAATAATATTATACACAGAGTCGGGAATCATGTGGCAATTTGTAGCGCTCGTTTTAGTTGCTCAATGCCTTATTACATTTAGCCTAATAGGTGGATTAAATGCCGAAGAACCAAAAGGTATGAACAATTTAATTATTTAAGAAATATAGACCGAATAGCAGGGGTAATATCGTAGAATACACCCCGCAGGGCTAGGCACAAACTTTTTCTGTAACCCGAACGACCGAAGGGAGTGAGGGATTCGAAAGCTTTCGTGCCTAGCCCTAATTCGACGACATTACCCCTGCTCTGAGGTCTATATTACGATTCGAACATGAAAACTCAACAGAATGTTTCGAATATTCATTATGGTCCGCCCTTACTACGGCCCGCCGTTAGACGCCACACATTACTCGTATCACCAGGGGTATTGTTCGCGAATATACCCCGGGTAAAATGTTGACTTTGTTCCGGTTTATAGAAGGCGTGAATACAATCATGTTCGAATCTTCGTTAGCACCAGTGTGATTTAGGTTGTTGAAAATAATCCAGATTCTTCAAAGATACTGTACGACCAAAGGGTTATGTATTTTAGTTAAGTCTTGGTTAACAACATATGTTACAGGAAAGAAAAAGAAGAAAAAAAGAAATCAGTTTCGTGTGCCAGCCTGTTGGAGGTGTCCATTCTTTCATTCATGCTCTTATGATATTTAGGACTGTCATATTTTGTTTTCCCCTTTCGTCTTTTTATTCATTGATTTATTTACAATAATTATAAAAAGTGACTTCCTTTTCTTGTACAAACCATGACAATGCTCGGCGACCGAGAGTCAAGGGCAATGTACTTCCAGCGAAATCTCACTCGGTGCTTCAAACTAACAGGTGTTCGATTGCTCAATTTTTAGGCCTTCCTTGATGTATAAATATCAGTATTTCTATAAAGTGGCACAGGATTACTTGTGATCTAGAACTATGGATTATCAATGATGAGTCCCTCAATATGTCGGACTTACAAATATTCTTTAAATACTTAATTCTAGTGAATTTTCAGATTTGTGTGTAGACTTAGTGTTCGCCGTTGACAATCCAGCGACAATATCTGAAGATCAAAGTGAGACCATACATAAACTTGTATACAACATACTTAGTGGGGTGGACATCGGCTCAAAGAAAGCGAAGGTATGTAGGCAAACTAGAAAAAACATTTGTTGAGTTATAGCTACGGTCTAGGTTTGGGTAAAATGTGTGGGAGATATTTAGCAGCATAGCGCGCCTTCGTGGGTTTATAGGGTACAAGTACCATTACTAGCTTGTCGATCATCAGGCCGTATAAGTTCAGGAACATTTTGCAAATTATGCTTATTTCTCATGGCACACCACATGTTTAAGTGAGGCGCTGGTGACATATTTCATTCAGGTAAAAGTGTTTAATTCATGATCCATGGCTAGATAACAACCTCAAGTTTCATTTGGTATGCAAATTATGATTTTGTATCAAAAATTAAAAAAGTTGAAGCATTTTGAAAAAAGTGGCGTTTTTGGCCCACACTGTATATTTTGCCATCTCAATGTGGTATCTTTGAATAAATCATTTATATCAATTATGCAAATATTTGTATTCTGAAACATCTATCACCAGTATGTTACATGGTTCAGTAAATATACATGAAGTGTTTGTTATAGCAAGCGGGAAAGCAAGCTACACTTACTATATGATATTATAGTTTTGTATCCACATCTAATGGTACAGGGTGACCCAAAAATACAACCCTCCATTTCTTCAATCTCACACCGGAATACCCTGACATCGGTAAAGTCGAATACCGTTGTCACAAATGGCGGACACAACCGTCGCTTCAATTCTTGAATCACTTGGTCCTCGTTTCATGGGACTTTATAGTCACTAATTCGGTGCATGTATTAAGCTCTTGTTATGATGCATTATAATTATGAAATCCCAATTTCTATCAAATGGGGTCGTGAATCGCCACACTATAGCGTCTTCGATATCGTCAATGACAACGGAATCTGAATTTGAAATGATTTAGAAAGACAACGACATATGGTAAGATATGACGACGGACTATGGTGGATGTATTGTATCGGAACATAGGAAAATGACAACTGTAAATAGACACTTTATCGTTGTCTTAACATATATCGTTGTCAAATATTACCTCTGTCACCACGATTTTACATCACATTTGACCCACACCTACCATTTTCATTTATACAGTATCCGTTGTCCTTTGTCATATATTGATCGGTAAAATTAAAGTGGGCGCCAAAGTTTAAAACTGGGCAGGCGCAGCGTTCTCGCTAACCTATATAAAGAGATTACAAGGTACAGGCTTCAGAGGTAAGTCAGGAAGGTGAACAATCTTCGTCCCATGTTGATTTCCCGTATAATCGTAAACAGGCAAGTTTCACCATTGAAATTGAAAATTACTATTAGATATACTTTGTAGATGTTATTAATGAGCTATTATGTGTATGCATCAATCAAATGACTCATTTTGAACATATAAAAAGTATTTGTGTTTTGTTTCCCAGGGAATCGTATTCCCATGTAGTACACACATAAATAGTGTACATTATGTAGTACTTGTTATGTCCACCATTTGTGACAACGATATCTGGCTTTGCCGTTGTCAGGGTATCCCGATGTGCATCTAAAAATCAATGATTTATTGGTGCATACCGGGCTTTAGCCTGAGCTGCAATAAAGGATTTTCTACGAAAGTATGAATCTACCATAAATGATTTTTCTTCTTTTGTCAACATCATATTTTGATTTTTGATAAAAGCACTGTATTATCCCACATTGAATGAACTATCTGTAAATCAAAAATAAATAAAATATCTGTTATATTAAGAAAGTTATTCAAGACATGGAGGGTTGCATTTTGGGGGTAACACTGTATCGGGCGTACCTCGGTGGTTATTATTGGGTGTATTAATTAAAGTATCTTTCTAAGACTTAGAAGGAGAAATGTGAGATTTCGAGCCATATGTCTCAAGAAAATGCTCTTACCTTTCTAGTAGGATGAGTTCAGGTGCCAAAAACAGCTGATCAAAGGATATATATCATTTTCTAATTGAAAATTTTTGTTGAGCCCTGCATTTTTAACACTGTTTTGACAGGAAGTCATACCCAAAATGAAAACTGAATAAAACAACATTTATCCTAAATGTAGATCAAAATACTTATTCAGACGTGCAAAATGTTAATATTAGTAGTAATGCTGATCATTTTTAAGAAATTTAAGCATGTAAATAAGACTTTTTTCGTCCATGGTTTTATAGATGAAGAATTTGTCCCTTCAGGAAGCTTTGACAGTTTGGTGTAGTGGTTAAAGCTTTGGGCTCAAACAGACTTTTATTCCAAAAGATCTGGGTTCAAATCCCTCCGGTGGAATATGTTTTTATTCTTTATTTTTGTTTTTTTTCATTTTGATCCACAATATTTCTAAAATAAATTTTTATATATGGCATTTAAACCATATTTAGTATTTCCAAGGGTTTTAATTTTTAGATGAAATCATAGACAGTTACTTTAACAACTGAATATTCTCCAGAAAGAGGGTTGGTTGCTTTGACTCAAATAAAGCTTCTCCATATAACTTGATAAAATACGAAGAAATCAAATTTTCTTTTTCTTTAATACCTCAGAGAAGTCTGTTTCCAAGATTGAAAAGTGGGAACCATGATTTTGTCACTTGCATAGCTTCTTGCTGTCGTGCAATGCTCACCACTGTCATGCCCCTTTTTTCTAGTCCAACAACATTAGACCTAGCCTGGGCCTCGTTTCTTATCTGACATGTCTTATGGCCCCGGCTAGGTCTAACTTCCATGATGATTTTGCCCTTGTTGCGATCATTTAATCGTTCAGCAGGTTTCGACATGCGGAACTAATTAAACTCCGAAAACATGGTAATATTACATAAAGAATGTGATTCAAGCATGCATACATACCTTATAAATACATACACACCATCCCGTACCCCCCTTAGACCATATTGATGCATAATTACGAAAATATTGGAGACAGGTTTGGAATTTTACGAAAATATCGGTCAGCTCCGGTAACATCGAATTTGCAAATCGTATCAGGAATTAACCGCCATTGCGACACTGCATCAACGAACAGTAGGTTTGCAATTAATAACGATTTTGTGTGTATACAAGCGCTATATAAATCAATCAAAGATACCTGCTATCCTCAAAAATGGCTATTTTATCCCGAGTAATCGCGTGATAATTATCAATCTATTTGACAACAATTTCGTTTCAATAGTTTAAATTTTAACCAGGGACGAACAGACACAATGAAGGACATGCGGAAATGTCATTTTAGAGATTGGTAAGTTTAACCTCATTTTACTTGTATAAATGACCATTTAATACAATAATATTGTGTTGAATCGATTGATGTTATGTGTTTTTATATTGTTGTCAAGTATCAGTTGCATGTTATCGCGGAAAAATGGTTTCGGTGGATCCAAAACTTGCATCAATGGAAAGAATAGTAAAGAGGTTAAACTCAATAATGGCCCCAAGAAAATTCTTAATAATAAATAACGCCGTTATTGAGTTTAACGACGTTGAACTACCTTCTTCCCTGCTCTTCTAAAGATGTTATCTGCAATCGTCTGGGTATTACATGACACCATCACAAGAGTTTCCAAGTAAACCTACCCTATAGGTAAACACTTCTTGCCCATGCTATTTAATTTTGACAAAATATGCATAATGTAGCAATCGACATGTTCTTTAAAGCTACGAACTTGACTGTGCTGGCTAGTTAAAGATCTAATAGCAAAGGTTTTGCAAAAATAAATCAATGTAGTATAAAACAAATGTATGTATAATGAAGAAATAAATATATAATGAAAAAAATAGATATCTGTTTGTAATATTGGTATAAACTTAAGATTAAAAAGTGTCACTATCTCCTTCACTTTTCAACAAATATAGGCTCACGTGACATGTGACGCGGGGCAGGCAATTTTGATCTATCGTAGACCATATCAGTATCAAATTGCTGATATTTCAACCTCGTCTTGCGAGGCCATTTTGATTTGAAACATCTTGAATTTGGTGTCAAAATGAAGCTGGTCACGCCCACTTTCAGAGTTATCAATGAATCACTTACTACGACTACTATATTCATTTAGGACGCGTGTAAAGTTAACCAATCAGAAAGACAATTGTTCCATATGTGGCAGTTCATTAACATATTCAGTGTTTACTACTGCTTTTCGCGTCATGACAACACGAGTAGTAACCAATCAAGATGCCGTATTTTATCACGTGAGTTCAGAGTGACACGCACGCGACATGTTGTCTGAGGTGATCGCGATGTTGAACAATTTCTTCTCGGAATTTGTCCAGAGAAATCAGCGATTCTAAATTAAGGTAGGATCTGCCATTTTTTCCTGTACAAGTTATAACTTATCTCTATCGAATCCTAAAGTTTTGGAAGAAGATATGAAGCGTAGGTTTAAAAACGAAGCGATTAATTTGACGATCTGATTTTGCAATTTGCAATGGCCAATTTACTACAAGTCCAGTGCATGTATTTGACAGGAGATAGCGCCAAGTCTTGTATCTAAATGCTTATTAAGCCACTCCAAAACAAGATCCATATTTTCTTAATTTGATAACTTTGCACAAAACCTGTTTTCATAATCTGTTTTCCGCGTCTAGATTCAAACTGAGTATGATAATAGGATCGCTGGAATCTTCAGTCAATGGCACGGGTCTTCATTCCAGAACTCACATTTTTAGTTGATTCTCCGTCATAGTTCTTGTCTAAAGTCCCCATATCTGCTCTCTTACTGCCATACTTGCACACATTTCCCCTCCTTAAATTGTCTTCATTCAAATTACACCCTCTCGCCGATTTATATAGCCATTTCCCAGAACCCGGGAATCAGAATAGCTGATGTTTGCCATATTGAACATATTATATGTACTGTAATGTCTGTGCATTGCCTGCTACGCGTAATGGTCACGTGACTAGCGCGATACAGGAAAAATGGGGAATTTCGAAACAACAATTTTTGGGCACTTTTATTGCAAATTTCAGGTATTTATAAAGTGTTTGTGGTATAAAATATAATCCACAGACATAAATGAACATCCAAACTACATATTTCATTAAGTTTTGGAGCCTTTTTTGCTCTTAAATTAACATCTTTAAATGCATGAACACTTTAAATGACGTGCAATATTGTTATAAAGTACGCACCCGACCCAAGTCGATTGCAATATGCATCAACACGTAGAGGATAATATTAATTTTTATAGAATGATAAAGATGAGATGGAAAGGGAATGAGTATAGTTGTGATTTAAATTACTGATAGCTGTTCCTATAAATCCAAGCCATTGATGTTATTTTTCTTTATAATTATCACTGGTGATCCGCTCGATTACGCTGGTTACCGAAACGACAAAATGTCGGAACGTCGAAGGTACGACGAGTGGATCACCAGTGTTTATGTATATGAAATATTAACCGCATAGAAAATATTCATTAGCAGCTGATTCACCTCATTTTCTCCATTAAGATTTCTAAAAGAAGGGAATACTTTTTATTCCAACAATGAGGAAAATGAGGATATAACATCTAATGTTCTGAGTTGTTTCTATATGTTCTGTATGTATTTATCCCATGTTACTATTACTTCCCTGTGAATAACACATGGGTATATTTTTGACATATGTCCCGACCAATCCCGCTCACGAAAACCGTATTCACCTCCCAATCCCGCTCGCGAAAATGGTATTCACTGTGATGTGTCCCCTGTGATGGAAATGCATACGTCTTGTTAATTTTTTATGTTGTGAGTTTATGTTATACAAATAGTTCAAAAGACAACAGAATCGTCGATTTAATTCCTCACTTCAGTTACATAAACGGTTTTTCGAAAAACAGTTAAGATCTGCACTTTTAACCCAAACCGTTTATGTAACTTACGTGAGGAATTAAATGTTGTCTTCTGAGCTATTTTTTCGCAAACATGTACATTTTCTAAAACATATGATGCTGATACACGTTTGTGAGAAAAAACGTCGTTGGGATTCTGCCTACAACGCGTGAAATAGGGAAAAAAGAAAATCGTACCTTCGACGTTCCGACATTTTGTTACCAAAACGAACCGTTTCGGTAACCAGTGTAATCGAGCGGATCACCAGTGGCATCGCAGGCTTTGCGTCTTCTGTTTCATCAAAAATCGTTTATGGAAGATGGCAAGTTGTGTTGGAAAAGTAGGGTTGAGGAAATGACCTCTCTCAGTTTGTTGAATGATATTCTCTTTTATGAGATATATGGACTACTTTATTTTGTATTATAATTTTAATTTCATTTTAATTAAACTAGTTATTATTATGTGGCTTTAACTAAGGAACGCTAAAGAGGGAATCATCGATGAAGTTTCTCAATGACATGTTGTCACTTGAGGGAGAATTCTGGCAAATGCATGTTATGAGTCCACGTTCTGACAGACTTGTTGTCGAGCATTACTCCAAGATGTGGTAATACATGTAGCTTCAGGATTACATTGTGGACTTCCTAATTAGATAAATAGATACACACTTTATTACAGGTAGGCTTAATAACATTTGGTTATTCAGCCAAAGTGGAGTTCGGGATAAATAAGTTTAAAACAAGACAAGATCTATCAGAAGCTATAAGGGAAGTCACTACAAAGAAATTAAAGCCTAAAAAACCTGATCCAGGGTTGGCCCTTTGGGACGCCTTAAGGTTGATTGGACGTAATGCAGAATTACTTAAAAACAAGGCGACTGATGCATTTTCTGGGAACGCTCGTGGACGGGTGTTAGTTATAATCACGTCATATTCTGGTATATTATCATCCAGGCTAGTGGTAAGTCCTATAGACTTCGGTTTCAAACTTTGAAAACTGAAAATAAAATTTAACAAATAGTTCATGATATTTATTTCTTTTAGACTAGAGAGGGTTTTGTTAGAGCAGATAATACAATCATGCACTTACGCCATTATCATGTAACATACAAGGGCTGACGAATATATTCGCTACCTTTTGCTTTATGTTCTTTTATAATCGTCCATTTCTATTGAAATTTGGCATAGGCACGCAGTTTCGTATTCCGCATCTTTTGATTTTATGCTCGAGACAATTACCATAAATGGCAAAAAGTTGTGGTTGTCATAGCAACGGGAGTAATGGGTCACTGGAGCTGCCTATAATTTTTACCGTAATTGCACATAAAATAATGTCTTTATATGGTCATTTCTCCTAATAAAACATTCAGTTTGGGTAATTTTTTATATATATTGTTTACTGAACACTGACCTATATTCATATTTTTGCTCTCAAATCGTTGACATCATCAAGTGAGTTGCGGATGAAGTAATGACACTACATTCTTCTTTATAAGTAGCTATGCAGTCCTCGACAGATTCTTTTATTGTGTGTTCATTTTTCACTGGTATTTGAATAGAAGCTGTTCTCTTAGATTTGCATTCACCATATTTGCTTCTTGATGCAACTCAGTAAGCACGAGTGTCCCTTTGTGATGCATACACGGATCAATTTTGACTTCTTTATTGCTTCAAATCAACATTTATATGACAGCTCAACACTTGTTCTGAATATTGGGCCAACGTCCAGTAAACAGATGAGTATATAAAAAATCTAAACCGAAAAGTTTTTATTAGTAGAAATGGGCATCTAAAAACATTGTATTTGCAATGGCGGTAAAATTATGGGCTGCTCCGGTGACGCATTACTCCCGTTGCAATGACAACCATATTTTTGCAATATACGGCAAATGGCTCAAACATGGTATCGAAAGATGCCGAATTGAACACTGCATGTCTGTGCCAACTTTCAATGGAAATGTATGAATATAAAATAAAATAAAGCAAAAAGTAGCTAATATATTGATTAGCTCTTGTATAGTGCTCAATATTAGTGCTTCATATTGCCGTTTAGAAAGCTGTGAAGCAGATGAATAAAATTAAACAAGATGGGATACTTCCCCTTCTGGTTCAACTTGACACTAAATCACCAGGAATTCGAACCAATCGAGTCAAGCCATTCAAGATACTGTTGGATGAAGACAACTACATTAGGGAAAATATATCTGAGGCTTCTCTTAAAATAGCAAATGTCCTTGACAGTTTCAAATGTGGATGTAAGTTTAAAAAACAGTGTAGTACGAAGGTCGTATATAAGTTTGAAAATATTTTCTATCAATGAATATTTTGATATTTTTATTATGTGCAATATATGTATTTATTTATGCGTGTTACTCAAGAAAATTCAATTTTTACATCTAAGAATGATAATTATTCAAAAATCACTTTTATTGAACCGATGGTGGCCTAAATTATTTTGAATAGTATATTTATTTAGACGGCCGATCGGGATCATTTTCATAAAATACATTGCTATCTTGCAGGTCAAGGGACTGCCGATGTTTGTTTGACTAAGGAATGTGTACAAGCAGGTACGTTAATCCTTTTTGGTTGTCCTCTCAAAACATTTCAACCACATTTGAACATTAAAATTGTATGTTGAAGTTTTTTAAATTACGCTCCTTTACTTGACCTTTGTTGTTGTTGAAGGGCATGCAAACAGTTACAGTTTCAATGTTCCAGGGATATAATTTATCAAAACAAAGCACAATTTCTTATAACATAAGGATTTACCGCTATGGATACAACTGGACAGGAACAGTTTCCGGACAACTCTGAGCCTGGACAACTCGAACCCAATACATCTGGGACCCAAGACAACTCGGGCCACTTTTTGAAGTTGAATTTTTATCATTATACAATTTGTATTTTTTTTTATATATATTTTTTATACATTATTTTTTATGTTCATTTTGACATTTATTATAGTACTATATTGTGAATTCATATATTATGTTAATTTGATGAAATTTGTTTAAGTTAATATTTTGATGAGAGTTAAGAAGTAAGAAATTATTGAAGCAAACGGCCCAATACATCTTGGACCACTTTTTGAAATGATGGTTTTTATCATTGTATGGGGTTCTATTATTTTATTTTATTTTTTTATGCTATAGATTATATATTGTAAATTCATATATTGTGTTAATTAGATGAACTTGTTTTAAATTAAATATACTATAATTTCAAAAAGCGGCCCGAGTTGTTTTGAGTCTTCAGCTTCAATATCTCTTACTTCTTATCAAATAAGTTAATTGAAAGGTTACGAATTGAACGATCTTCATCAAATAAATACAATAGTGCAGTCAGAATGTGGGTTTCAGCGTGCGCTCAGAGGGATTTTATGGGACATAATTTTTCATGTTACTACTATGATTATACATATTTGTATGGATTATAAGATCTTAGTTTTTCAGCTTTTAGATTTTACCCCCATGGGCTAAAATTTGGACCCCTACTATAAAATAGAGCAAGGACTCAAAAGATATTAAGTGGAATGTTTCCAAATAACTATAATATATTGGTGTAGGCTAACTGAATATATGTTAAAAAGTTCATGTCACATGATGTAGTGGTTGCCATGGAAACGGATAAAACATACCCTTCAGGTATTGATTTTCAGGCCATTTTTTTAGTAATGACGGAGTCATTTTGTGCATATTTTGTCACCATTGTGTTAGGAAGGGTTAAAATGTGAATATAAAACTTCTATAATATATTAGCAACAATCTTATTTGAAGATCTGCAGTCCATAGAATCTCAGGTTTTGGCCTTTTATGGGTCCATGACTTATACAGGGGTTTATTTCTACTCACAGACTCGAGCTCCCACATTGGATGGATGCTATAACTTTTGAAATAAGGGAGATACAGGTCTCATCTTTTTAGATCTTCATAAATGGTTGGTTTTAAGTATTTTAATATACTTTTGGAGCTGGTATATGATTGGTTGCCATGGTAACCAGGGTTTTAAGGAAATCCTGACCCCGACATTGGATGGATATTATAACTTTTGAAATAAGGGAGATTCATGTTTCATTTTTTCAGATTTTTGACAATGTTTGATTTAAAGTATTGATTTAGACTTTGGGAGCTGGTATTTGATTGGTTACCATGGAAATCAGGGTTTTGTTGAAATTCAGACCTCCACAATTGATAAACGCTATAACTCTTAAATACAGCCAGATAGGATATCATCTTTTCAAATCTAAGATAATGATAATATGTGTGTATTGTATTAGACTTTGGAAGTTAGGATTTATTTGTCTGCCATGGTAGCCATGTTTCATTGTCATGGTAACTGCTATTTTCGTTTTCAGATTCACCTATATTCTAGATAGGTCAATACATGACATAAAATACCAAATTGCTCAAAGTTATCATTTTTATTCTTAATTTTTTGATTTTTTTCTATTTTATATGATTAACATGCTCATGACTCATTAATACTAAAGATGCAAAAAATGTTTGGCTCATGAAATATCAAATACTAGTAAACAATACGTGTATGTCTGACAATATTGCCTCATTCTATACTACTAGTTCTTACAAAAGTTCTGACTCCTAACTTGTTCATTTGTTTTCTGTTGGAATGAAGGATTGTTTTGACCATTCTGGAGATAAATTAGGATCATCAGGGGATATAGTCCATTCATGCAGTATTGGACTTGGCAGAATGGCTTAAGACTGGTCCCTGTGGGTTCACTGTATATAAAATTTGGCTGGGGTCCAAGGCTGAACCCTCAGATATCATATCAATATGTTCCCATCCGACTTGTCAAATTTGAATGTGTTCCGATATCAACCAAAATAAAATCAACCCAAAAGCCATACCAAATGCCCAAATATAGGACCAGTGCCATACCAAATATCCAGATATGAATATGGCCATTCAAAATTTCTAATGCCTCAAAAGAAGGCGGAAAACAACCAAAAACAACATCACATTAAGAATATATACTAGATCTATGTCATACATGTATAACAAGTGAGGGGCAACATATTTTTCACGACCATTCCCAAATCCGACCATTGCCATACCTCTCAAGTCATAATTTGGAGAGCATTTTCATATCAGATCCTAAAATTTGGTCCATTGCCATACCAAATGTCAAAAGTACCCCACCTGAACCGAGGATCCCCTCAAGGTTTATATACAGTGAACTCCCGGAAGACTGGGGGTAATGTTTCCACTTCCAAATATACGTTTTATCATCCAATCCTCTTCAAATGTTATAATAAGCAATCATTACAAGGTGGAAGAGTCCATCATTTAATCCATTGCATTATATTAGCTGCTATGAAAGCAGTGAAGGACCAATCTTGAAGGATGGGAAGAGTTGACTATTGACTATTGACTATTCACAAATGAAGGTAAGACTGAAATAAAAAACTAAGGGTACCATGACGACGAAACATGGTTACCATGGCAATGAAGTAAATGCTAAGCTCCAAAGTCTAATACAATACTACACAAATCTAATTATTTTTAAGATCTGAAATGATGATATCTATATCTGCTTAAATTCAAACGTTGTAGAATTTATCAATTGAAGAGGTCCACATTTCAATAGAACTCTAGTTACCATGGTAACCAATCAAAGGATGTTTCTGGGTATATGCCCTTTTGGTCCCTCAGTCAAATGTATGTGAAATATGGTTTTTATTACTGTGCTAGTTATATTTGATAAGTATATTTACTTTTTCACGAGTTTTGATGCATAATTAACCCCCTGCTGAGAGTCAGAATAAGTATCTTAACAAACAAAAAATAGTCATTATCACAGAAAAAACCACCAATGGCAACATGTATGACATACAAAGAAGAAATAACTAAGACCCATGAAGAATTAAAAAGAAAATCATATTTTTGAAATATAATATTTTTTTCAAATTTTTAAATTTCCCGCCAGTTTAATTTGAAGTGGGAAAGACAAGATGGCTGCCATTTGATGTAAGAAATATCAGAAAAAGTTGCTTCACTTTTAGTTTTCACAATGAGCACAGTTCTCCGGTTTAGGTTTTTTGACTGATTCTGACTCTTCATCACCAGGGTCATGTATAGAGATTATAAAATTGAAACCAAAATGTTGTGCTCAGAATGAATTTGACTGAAATATGTCTAACTTCACCAACACAATTGAAGTCTCAAAACTGGATGCTCAGTAACTTTGAGTGACTATAATCCCTTGATTACCCAGATAAACACCAATTCACTTATCCAGAAATACCATTCAATGTCTATACAAAGAAAGTAAGCAATGTTTTGAAGGATATGTTTCAAACTTTTTGCATGAATAATTCATTTAATATTTGCCATTGATTTTTTTTCAATTCTGACAAAGTGATATGCACTGTCTTTGATGCCAATATTCTTCATCAATTGTGATACAAATTGATATTTTTGTAATCTCAGAAGAAGGATAAGATATTGAAGTTTAATAATATGTGTGATTGAGTTGGTTTTTCAGACATTACAATTTTCAATATTTTCTAAGTCGATACCCAGACTCATTCCCAGACTCATCCTTTCAGCTCCAAAAGTCTAATTTAATATCTATAATCAATCATTGTCTAAGATCTGAAATAATGAGACATGTATCTCCCTTATTTCAAATATATAACATCCACCCAGTGTGGGGGTCAGAATTTCCCTAAAACCCTGGTTACCATGGCAACCAATCACATACCTGCTCCCAAAGTAAAATAAAATACTTAAAACTAATCATTTATGAAGATCTGAAAAGATGAGACCTGTATCTCCATCATTTCAAAAGTTATAGCATCCATTCAGTGTGGGAGCTCGAGTCTATGAAATAGACCCCTGTATAAGTCATGGAGACCAATACAAAGCCAAAATCTGAGATTTGGTGGACTGGTCTTTACATACAATTGTTGCTAATATATTATAATTAATTTATTTAATATATTATTTTATCTTTATATTTTAACGCTTCCTAACACATTGGTGACAAAATATGCATGAAATGACTCTGTCAGTCCTGAAAAATTGGCCTGAAAATTGACACCTGAAGGGCATGTTTTATCCATTTCCATGGCAACAACTTAACCATGTGACATGAAATTTTTATCATATGTTCAGTCAGCCTATACCAATTTAACTTAAGTAATTTGGAAACATTCCACTGAGTATTAATTTTCATAAATAAAAAATAAAACCACACATAATGATAAGAATCATAATTCAAAAATGTGGTCCGAGTTGTCTTGGGTCCGAGATGTCTTGGGTCCGAGTTGTCCAGTTACCCATAGGAACACATTCTCATGGGATAAGGAAGTATCGACATGAAAAGTTACAGACAAAAGGATGTTTCATAAAATAAATATTTCATAAATATATGTCCCAGACATATTTCCTTATTTCATGATGAATGTCTTACGTTTTTACAAATGTTGACTTTTATAATAATTTTATGACGTACATATCAATGGTTTTTTTTGTCCTAGGTTTAGCCACGTATGTATCGTAACTTACAATCAATAGCCACATGATAACTATCGACAGTATGACCAACATAACCTATGCAGGCCTGTCAACTTGGGAACACCTAACATGAGTGACTTGGAAATGTTGAACACCTCCCCTCAAAATGTGGACACCTTGGTCCAAATCTGAACACCTTGATCCAAATTTTGAACACCTTGGCTTAAATTTTATTACATCTTGCCAAATTTTGAACACCTCAAATTTTTCGCGCTCGCTACGCTCGCATTTCAAACATCCGTCAACGGGGGGGGGGGGGGGGGGGGGGGGGTTGGGGGAGGGACGAAAAATTTCGAACGGAATGCGTGACATATACGTAATTCGCGTGAAAAGTCCGAACGAAATGCGTACATTGCGTATTTGCGTGACATTTTCTGTCACGCAAAAATAACTGGCGTGACTTCAAATTCTTCAGCAAATGCGTGACAAATACGCAAAATGCGGGACAGTTGACAGGCCTGCCTATGCAACTTAATTTAATATGCAACGGTTTCATTTTCTCATTTAGCCGCAGCCATGATAAAAGCTATGGACGAAACTGTTGATCCATGTGACGACTTTCATGAATACGCTTGTGGAAGATATCTGAAAGAGAATGTTATCCCCGAGGATAAAACAAGTATCGGACGTTTTGTTACACTAGACGATGAAGTCCGACTAAAATTACGTGGTTTGTATTCAGAACTTGTAGTAGTATTTGTATTATAGCATTTTTCATGTTGATTCACCGTATTGTGCTGCCATCTTTCAATGGGTTTCTTATAGGTTTTGTAGGGTGTGGGATTGCCTTTCATTTCCTATAACTTGGGGGTATTTAACAGAAATTTTGGGCTTCATTCAGGAGAGAGTTAGATCGGGGGGAACATCACACATCATTTATTTTCATCTTATTAATCTCATTTTCATTCTTTCTTTATCTTTGAACAGTTTTATTTTACACTGAAGAGTGTAATTGTACATGTTTAGTCTTTTACTTGGAATAAAGTATAGTTTTATGAGTATATTAATTCTGTGTTAATCTTGTCTTTTTACATTACAAGACCAATCCATATTATTTTATGAAGAACCCACAGAGCTATTTAAACAACAAAGCTCGAAGCTTCATTGGTGGCAGCGGTGGGATTGGTCTTTGTCTTGTAAAGAGATTCTTTTCGCAGTTTTAGTGTTTTTATTTTCATTAAAGAGTGGAGATTAGTTCTCTTCACATCTTTAAATTTGATTAACTTTTACTGAAGAGTGGAAATTAGTTCTCTTCGCATCTTCAATTTAGCTTTACTCTTACAAAAGAGCGGAGATTAGTTCTCTTCGTTTCTTTCTTTTAAGTTAGGTTCATTCTATACTGAAGAGTGAAGATTAGTTCTCTTCAACTCTTTCTTTAGGATTTTGTCTTCATATTCAGTTTACTTTGAATGAAGAGTATTCGTCTTCACTGTACTATTAAGTATTAACTTTGTCTTTATGCACAATGTTTGTTTATGCATGCATTTAAGTTGACGGTCTTCACTTAAAAGACTGATAATGATCTTGCGTTTGTGTACGCTCAGTTAATTTATGCGTAACTTTACCTTGATCTTGTGAACAAAAAGAAGACAAAGAGTCAAGAATATTTGATGTCAAGAATATTTGATGTTTACACGTGCTATTGTTAAGGGAATCATCATTTAGTAATGAAGACGGGCTCCCGTTGTAGTTACTTTTAAAATTGAAATACGAAAACGCTTGCATTTCAGCGTTGTACTAATTTCTGTATTTGCTATCAACAAGAAGCTCATGTAACAGGCTCCTGTTTTAGTTACTTCAAAAACACTTTCTTTTACTTTCTTTCTATCCTTTATTTCTACAATTGTGCATGCTAAGACGCATTGCTTTAACATTGGCAAAATCGAGCGCGTATCTATTTGTTTGGCTGTGGCTATAGTGTTAGGATTGTTCCGAATTGGTGTTAGACGAAATTATGAATTGAGAATATTTGATTTGAATGTTCGAGATCTAGTTTTTGGTCTTTGTATTTTGTAAAAATCCCTGTATTGATGATAAAAGCGTACTTGATTCTGTTTGTGTTTTGATATTACGTATAGATTATAGCTCATTCATTAAATAGAAGTTGATACCTTGTGAATATGGAGGGGAAGGATCAATGTGAAAATGGGTGTTCTGTCGTGTTAGGTGCCGTCGGGGAAAATGAAGATGAGAAAGACGAAAATAATGAAAACTTTGATTTGATTTGGTCAGATAAAAATGTAAGTCTCCATGACGAGAAAGACACAGATGGCAAAATCACGGTTTCACCTGAAAATCAAAATGAAGAAAAGAAATCGTCGGATGGTTTATTAGGGCGTAGTCTTGCTTCAATATTGAAATGCAAGAAATAGAAGAGCGCCTACAAGATATGGATGGGATTAATTGATTGTTTAGTCAAAGAATGTATATAGTGTGTATAAGCAGAGACCTATAAAACATTTTATATGTCTCTGGTATAAGTAAACATAAAGGGAACATATTTAGTTAGCTAGTTGGTTAGTTAGGTAGTTAGGTAGATAGTCGGTTAGTAGTAAGTTAGTTAAATGTGTGCTGCATGGGCATTGTTTATCTCGTGATTATTTAAAAGGGAAAAAGTACATAATACAGAGTTAAGTAAAAGTCATCAATGCATACCTTAAAAGATATTTTATTTCAAACTCTCAATGGAATTGCATATAGGTATATTTTAATGGCTAGTGGATGAAAACATGACTTGCAAAAGAAATTGTTCAGGGGAGGTAAAGCCTTTCAAGTATGAAAACAGGACCATTTTGTAGTATTGAAGAACATTTTTCTTTATTAATTATGCATAGAAAGAGTCAAACATCCGTATTTGGCAAGAATGCATGTTTGTTTTGTGTCGCTGAATGGATGAATGAGATTTGTCATTTTTGTAATATGTGGTTGCCCGGGCAATTAGAAGTAACAATAAGAAGTAAACAATTAGAAATAAGTAATTAGAAGTAAACAATTAAGAGTGAACAATAAGAAGTAAGCATTTAAGATAATGAGAAGATTGAAAAAGTAACTTTTAAAATGAGATTTCTGAAGACAATTTATGTTTTACAGTTATTAAACGTGTGCTTGTCGAAAATACACATAGGGATCGTTTTATCTGGTTTTATTAAGAGATATGAAATTCCATGAAAATGGAGGGGGTAGTTTGTAATGCGAAATTATGATGGCATTTCATATTCCATTCGTGTAGTAAGGCCTGGCATTTTAATATGGTACTTAAATGATGAGATGTAAAGTCGGCTTTTTGTCATGTGTTCTTGGATATTGCATCTAAGTTGATAAGTTAGCTAGACGAAGAGAATTCATTGTTGTTAAGTTATGAGATTTGAACTAGGCTTCTTGTCATGTGTTCTTGGATATTGCATCTAAGTTGATAAGTTAGCTAGAAGAAGAGTTCAATGTTGTTTTAGATGAGGTTGTGTGGTTGTTACTTATTCTTGGATATTGCATCTAAGTTGAATCATAGGTAACAAATGATCCATATGTAAAGCAGTGGGGTAGAATGACTGATATTTATCGGCATGTTCTAAAAGGTGTGCTGGCTCCAATTTAGTGGACTCTGTGGCCTTATCCATTGTTTAGTCATTGTGTGGTTAAAATGACTAAAAGGTGGACTGATACAAAGGCCACTGTTTAGGTATTTTGATAGAAGAATGACTAAAAAGTGGCTTCAAACTGGAGTATAAAGGGTTAAGTAAAAGGGTGGTACTGAGTGATCCAACCCACCCAAGATGCATGCCTAATAGAATCATAAAACCTTATCAAGTGATACAATCTGTCCCTGACACCATCAACTATTGTATCTTAGTATCCCTTTAAAATTGTATATAATTTTGTCAAAGTAACAATTATCACAAACAATGAAGCTCTGATTTCATAACTTTACATGACCCAAAACAGCCTCGAGACCGCTTAATGTTGAAAGGTGGGGGTAAACAATGCTAAAAAAATTAATTACAAACTTTTCCACAACTTGCAGTTGGTAAGGGTATATGTGTATCCCAATTGATATAGAATTTTCGCTATTAAATGATTATGTTGGAGGAGTTTGCAATCATTAGTTTTAAGCTGTGATTTGCAAAAAATAAAAGAACTAGATATAGTTGAATTCTATTGTTGATGAAAATTATGAAGTTACGTCATTTTTTGTAAATATATCAGAATGTATAGCACTCCATTGTAAATTTAAGGCAGAGTAAATCTGGAAATCTCCAGAGCTGAATTACAAGGCTCTCATACCTTATCTCTAAAATCTAAAATTGACATGCTTTATAATTTTAGTATGACCACACTTGTATCATACTTGCATAATTTGTCAAACTTAGATTATCCTTCACATTCTTTTCAATGGGGACAATTTAGCTGACAATCTACCTAACACTCATCTGCACACCACCTAAATACCTTTGTTGTTTCCCTTACAAATGTTGACTGATATTTTGAAAAGTGAAGCTCCTCATGTTATAATGTTGAACCCCTGGGCTGGACAACCAACCTTAACTCAATTTAATTTGGAGAGGGGGGTAAAATGGTAAAACAATTGATTAAATTTACTTACTTTTTTTCCACAACTATCAATTTGTAAGGACATATGTGAATTCCAATTGATATAAAATGTTCCCTTACTGAAAATATCAAAGTTTGCAGTCAGTAGTTTAAATCCTTCAGTATATATTTTATGAAAATGAAAAAAACCATATGGCGTCGTGTTGAATTATATTTTTGTAAAATGACCAATATAAAACCATTTATTTTTTTGTTTTGTAACTATATGAGAATTATTTATCATTCCATTAAAAGGGTCGACTCTTAATGGCAGGGAAATATGGTGGTAGGTGCGGAGAGTCACTTTTATTTGCTAATTTTTCCAGCCCCATGTCATTTGAATGGTAGCTTTTATCAAAAATTGCCACAAGTTTCGCTTATTCCTATAAAGACTAAATCTGAAAATCTGATTTCCTTGAACATGCTAAAGCCCGTGTGATTTAAGTATTATCGTTAATGGCAATTATTCCTCCAGCACTTTTTTATCACTAACATTTTTTGTGGTCTTGGGCAAATGTTGCCTAAGTTAAAATAGATAATAAAGATACTTATCAAAACTCTCGCTAATTGACATATTTTCACTAAATCAAGAAAGTTAGGACAAATGTTCATCTGATAATATCAGATAATATTGATAATTATCAAAACTATTGCTAACAGTTATAATTTTAGTTACATCAAAACTATCACTTTTATTGATAACTATTTCTAGCAAATGTTTCATAGAAAAGGGCCCGTGTGAAATTAGCATTATCTGATAATTTATAAAAACAATTGATAATTATCAAATCTATTGCTAATTTTGGTAATTTAACTTTTATCAAAACTATCACTTTTATTTATTATTATATATTTTTTCGGGCTGGCTGGTAACAATGAAATTATATATTATCACTTATTGATAAAAGTCAGTTTCCGCACCTAAATGAGAATCCATAAGTGTTAAATTGCATGTGGTTATAATACCTTTACATACTTTATCTCTAAAATCTCAAATTTACATGCTTCATAATCTTTATGGAAATGACCACGCTTGATATTGAATTCACACAATGGGTACATCATGTACATGGACATAGTTCAGTA